TCAGCGAGGAGTGAATGATGATGAGTGGGGCGAAGCGTCCGTCTGTCCGTTCGCGCTTCTGTCCGTCCGTTCGTTCTTGCTACCGTCTATCCATGCGTCCGTCCGCGCGTCAAACATTCAGACAGACAGACGACGGACAGATGCGGCCAGCGGATGATTCACAGTTTGCCAGTAAAATCCTCCGAAGCTTCGCCCCACTCACCATCATACATTCCGTGGATATGCTGTGAGGTGGTCATACATACAGGTGATGGGCGACCCATGCCTTAAGGATGTTTCACCCCTAAAAAAGAAGGTGCAATGTAGGATGTCGAAAAGCAAAGTTTACATACTCGGCAAAAAGTAATGGCTTAATTGCTCCCGCTGATGCATATACTCCTCTGACTAAGTCACCCTGGGTCATTGCATGCTATATATATATATATATATATATATATATATATATATATATATATATATATATATATATATATATATATATATATATTTATATATGTATATATGCGTGTGTTTGTGTACGTCTATGTAAAAGCTGCTTGCATTGCAAAATGGTAGACTAATTAATGTCCTGACTCGTTCAAAGAAAGAATAATACTGAGTTCAAGAGGTTCATTATTGTGGCTTTCATACCATATTGCAGACGCAAGCTACTCAACAAATTGGATATCGTGTAGGTGTAGTCACCTACGCGATTCAGACTTCACAAGACTTTACGAGGCATCCAACTTTACCCGCCGCGGTAGCTTAGCGGCTAAGGTGTGGTACACAGTTTACCGTGAGGGCGGGGTGCGATTTCCCTCTATGCAGCCGCACTTCTAATAGCCGCACAGCCGCTACGCACGTACCAGCACACCTGTCGCACCAAGTAGAGGGTGAAAGAGCGTCGCCAAGTGGCTTTTTTGTCCCCCGTTTGCTTACGGCAGGGGTCCTGGCATGTGCGTGGCGGCTGTACCAGCAGCGCGTGGAAAGGGGCCCCGCCGCAGTGGTCTAGTGGCTAAGGTACTCGGCTGCTGACCCGTAGGTCGCGGGTTCGATTCCCGGCTGCGGCGGCTGCATTTTAGATGGAGGCGAAAATGCTGTAGGCCCATGTGCCCAGATTTGGGTGCACGTTAAAGAACCCTAGGTGGCCCCGCCGCGGTGGTCTAGTGGCTAAGGTACTCGGCTGGTGACACGCAGGTCGCGGGATAGAATCCCGGCAGCGGCGGCTGCATTTCCAATGGAGGCGAAAATGTTGTAGGCCCGTGTGCTCAGATTTAGGTGCACGCTAAAGAACCCCAGGTGGTCGAAATTTCCGGAGCCCTCCACTACGCCATCTCTCATAATCATATCGTGGTTTTCGGACGTTAAATCCCACATATCAATTAAAGAACCCCAGGTGGTAGAAATTTCCGGACACCTTCACTACGGCGTCTCATAATCATATGGTGGTTTTGGAACGTTAAACCCGACATATCAATCAATCAAACTAAGGGACCAAAATTCAAGGTCCAGGAAGTGTAAATCGGCCTAAATCTTGAACTAGCGTGCTAGAGCGGCAACTTTTTCTGAGTGCTGCGCACAATGACTGAGTTGGATTGCAAAAAAGAGTGAGGGCAAGCGCTTGAACACAAGACCATTTTTTGTTCTCAACTTCGTTCCATCACATGATGTTGACGCACAGAAAAGTCGACGCTGCGTCCGCTAGTTTTGGATGGCTTTACTTGCATTACGTTAAGAAATCCTAGACGAATATAATTAACCCCTATACGCTGTGCCTCTTAATCTTATCTTGGTTTTGCACGTAAAACCACTAATCTCCTATCGCACTTCCGAAGCCGCAGAGCAACTTGACAAACCCTGAATTCGGCCACGAATCATGAACGTATAGTAACGGCGGCGCCAAGACTTTGTTGCTTCCTGACAAATTGCCGAGGGGGACGACTTCCTCGAATTGTTTCCACGACCATGCAGTGCTGCTGCAAGTTAGCTCATTGAAAAGGTCTGAGCTTGTGGGTATGGCTCCGTTGCGGGAAACATTCCGTTTACTCGAGTCAAGTTTGCTCCTGAAACCGTTGAGCTCAGTATCTTCAGGCAGCGCTACCCTTTCGGCATCAGAAAGTAGCCAGTCGGTCTGGCTAAGCTATATGTCCTTCCTCCTCCTCCTTAATCTCATAAAACACGAGAAAAAAAGGTCCGCCATTCAGCAAAAACTGTAGGGCTACACAAGCACGGTCATCGACACGCGTGAGAAGCAGTCTTTTTGCATCACATGGTTCAGGCAGTGCAAGCCCGAATTTGCCAGTCCTCAGCGATGCTTGGAGCTTAGTTCTTGCATACTCGTTTTAGTTTTCACACACTGAGCCATTCTGTATCTGCATTCAGCCAATGTTTTCAACGACCCCACTAGAGCCGTCCGTGTTTATGCCGGTTGGCACCAGCGTACTAGCAGACAGCTGTCAAGCTTGTCTCTCGCCTGGCAATTGTTTCCTGAAGGGAGGACAGCTGCGAGCAGAAAGTGCGTAATCGTGTCGTTGCACACACACACGTTAGCAATATAATACTATTGACGCCCCTGACACGTTGTAATCAGAAAGAACGGGTTCGAATTGCAGCAACTGCTACGATAAGCTTGCCTCGGAGTGCAAAACTAAGCGAGCTGGTAGGTATGTATCTGCACATGGGTATGAACGAGCAGCGTTTCACCATTAACAAGGAAGTGTTGCGGTTTGGGCTAGTTGGTATGACATGACGATAGTTATAGCGCAAGAGCATAACGATGACAAAACGTCTCCTCCCTTGGTCGTCGTTCTGCGCTCGCGCTATAACTGTCGTCATAGCAAGAAAGATAGATATGTGGGGTTTAACGTCCCAAAACCACCATATGATTATGAGAGACGCCGTAGTGAAGGGCTCCGAAAATTTCGACCACCTGAGGTTCTTTAACGTGCACCCAAATCAGAGCACACGGGCCTACGACATTTCCGCCTCCATCGGAAATGCAGCCGCCGCAGCCGAGTACCATAGGCACTAGACCACCGCGGCGGGGCCGTCATAGCAAGAAAGGCATCAAAAGTGCGGACTTGAAGCAAAATACAAGCGCTTGTCCCGAAGCCTTCCTCGTCGTGTTTCGACAAACAAGAAAAAAAAAAACCAACGTTGCGAAGTGCTACCCACAGCCAAAGATAAGCTCACCTTTCTGGTGTAGATAAGAGCAAGCGGCACATCCTTACACAGCAATACACCCAGTAATTGTTGCCCCACTTTGCTATCTCCTGTTGCTTTAATAAATTGAGTCGGCTATTTCAGATGACCTTTGTGCGCAACAGGTTCAAGCTACCAGCTTTGGAGCGACTAGGCTTCAAGCCCAACTCGTCCATAGCCTAAAGTACAACTTTAGCGAAGCCATTTATCGCTTTTCCACGACAGAAGATTCAGAGAAGCTTCACCTCGCTAGGCACAAATTGTGCGATTTTTTATTGACTAATCGTCAGGTACGCGAGTGTAAGTACGTACGTGATCGGGATTCGGGGAAAAGCTTACTATATGCACTCCCGTCCGACTGAGATATTGTTACATACTGTCCAAAACACACTGTCCAAAACTAATTGCACCTCTTCTTTAATGACGCAGCCGTTTGTCATCGCTTCAAGAGAGAAAAAAGACACGACAAAGAGAATGACTTCACAAATGTTTTTTTTCCTAATTACTAAATTTCTCATCACGTCACCTCGACAAGAAAATTTTAACCAATGTAATTTTCGTTGTTGAGAGATATGAAGTTTCTCGGTTTAGTAAGTACCAAAGAAGGACACCCGTCAGAGTCAAAATAAAAAAAAAACTACTAGGAGCACAATAATATTAGACTTACGACGAAGAATAAATTGCGACGGGTTAGCAGTGATTGTTTCGGCTCTCCAACGTTTTTGGGAGGATAGTGGCCTGCACTGCAACGAAATGGTTTGAGTTCTTTAACTTCGTGGGGCAACATCTCTGATGCGCGCTTGTGGCCCGCATCTGAGCGCAGCCGCTGTAATCGAAAAAAAAATTATATATATATATATATATATATATATATATATATATATATATATATATATATATATATATATATATATATATATATTAAATTTGCACCAAAACAGCGTCATCGTTCCATCCATCAGCGGGTACAGGGAGGCGTGATTCAGCAAGCGGGAAATAAAAAAAGTGTTTGGAAAATGTAAGGATTTCTCGCAACTCTTATCTCTTCTCTCCCGAAACGAATGCGATCGCTGTTTTTCTTGAGGGTAAACTTTCAGAAAGAGCTTTCTATTCAAAAACAATAAAAAAAGTTTCCTAGCAATTCCTACCTTCAATAGCAGTGCGAGCACTGACGAATTTTAATGAGTTTAGCCATTTAGAAATCAAGCAAACTGAAAGAAAAAAAAAACTACGCAAATCGCAGAAAAAATGGACTGAAGGCCGGTGCAAGCAATAAGTATATGTATCAGCATTCACATGATTGATTCATCGGAAGTAAAACAAAGTGCACAGGATGGGTCCTTGCCCTGTGTGCTCTGTGTCATAAGACGTTAACGCCTTCGCGTTTTAGCACTGCATCAATAACGCAAGTATGCCAACTGACCCAGCCATCCATGCATTTACATGCATCTTTCGTAATAATAGTATCCACTTTGACAAGAAAATGCTTATACATGGATGCATAGATGTAAATAACCGATGTCCTATACCACGCAAGTCTATCAATTGCGACCATTTGATGGGCTCGCGCGAGAACTCAGACCGCGAGCAGTAATTGTCACGATAATTAGCTGGTCATGCTTAGTCAATTTTCTTCGTACCTTTTTTTTTTCTATTGACGATTGACTGAACATGGCGAAAAGAAGACAAATTATTCGTATCCCTTCGCTCGACATCAATTAGCGACGACACACAGGACACGCTACGTATCAGTGATGCAAGGAGCATGCTTTTCGCGTAATGCGGCCCAGGTGACAGTTGGTTGCAAGAGGCGCACTCACGGTGAGTCGGGGGCGAGGCGGCGTTCTTTGGCTTCGTATTCCTGGATTTGCAGTGCGTTGGCCAGGCTCAGGGTGCGACGTATTCGAACCCCGTTGGTGGTGGGGCCGTTCTGCTGTGCCATCGCGGGCTGCGGCCGGAACCACAGCGCCCGTGCACGGCGTCTCTGACTCCGGAGGCGAGAAGCGGGAAAGCGACCGGCGCTTGCTTGCAATCACTCAACGCGCCTCCCCGATGCTCGGTGCGCGTGTGCAGCACGCCGTAGCAAAAAACACCGCCCGCTGCGCGCGCCAGCTCGGAGTTAAAACGGATGTAGCAAGATAACAGCTGTTTGGCCGCTGGCCGGCCGCGGCTATCGATAGTGGCGCCGCCTGTTGAACATGGGCCGAAGTCTCCAGGAAGCTGATGGCTTGCGTGAGATGCAGCACGCGCTGGGGACTCCCACGTCGTCGGCGGCGCAAGTTTAGCACGGCAAGCTTATGTCACGTGCTGGGCCCGGCCTGGTGTCTGGCTCACAACTATATTTACGCTAAGCAGGTGCCCGTCAGCACAGCGCCGATAATTGTGGTCCCTGACCCTCGCTGCAAGATTATATGGTGCGTAGTTTCGAGAAGCGAAGTATTTCGACGAAGACGGTGACACGGTATCTTGCACGTATAGTAAACGTGAAACGTATCCTCACCCAAGATCGTCTACTATGCTATACTTTGATTCAGTCCAAGCTCCTTTAGTGAAGAGGACGGTGCTGCTCAGCGTGCGGGCTTTCTACTTTTGTTCGAAGTGCGTTCACTGTGTAAATGCATCTTGTAACTAAGGCTAGCGAAAAATTCGCAGATCCTACGTACAGTGGAAATGACGATATGCGAAGCACAAATGAAAAAGGTTGATATGGTACTTTGAAATCAGCACAACGTTACGAGGCGGACGTAAATTATGCCGTACATGACTTCCATATCATTATTATCATGTCTGCACCACCGCAATAGCAGCAAGACCATGACATGTAAATCATGACATTCATGACATACACGTCATCATTTCATGTCATGACCAGTCACTTGTACTCGTCATAAAGTCATATTATGCCTTACCCATTTTGGTATAGATCCGATTATCGAAACAACCAGGAGAGCTAAAAGTCGTAGATAGATAGATAGATAGATAGATAGATAGATAGATAGATAGATAGATAGATAGATAGATAGATAGATAGATAGATAGATAGATAGATAGATAGATAGATAGATAAGATAGATAGATAGATAGATAGATAGATAGATAGATAGATAGATAGATAGATAGATAGATAGATAGATAGATAGATAGATAGATAGATAGATAGATAGATAGATAGATAGATAGATAGATACGGCCAAAGTCGCCGATGGGGCTAAGAAATGCTACGCATTTAAAAATGTTCATTGGCTTTATAAGCTTCACTAATTGCTTGTCTCCAATGTTAATGGCTCTTCCTGTCTTTTATTTTTTTTTTTTGCCCCGCCGCGGTGGTCTAGTGGCTAATGTACTCGGCTACTGACCCGCAGTTCGCGGGATCGCATCCCGGCTGCGGCGGCTGCATTCTCAATGGAGGCGAAAATGCTGTAGGCCCATGTGCTCAGATTTGGGTGCACGTTAAAAAAACACTAGGTGGTCGAAATTTCCGGAACCCTCCACTAAGGCGTCTCTCATAATCAAATGGTGATTTTTGGACATTAAGCCACACATATCAATAAATCTTCCTGTCCTTTACTTAACAAGGGTCTCTAATCTAGCCGGTTTGGCACCATCAGGAAGCCCGTGAGATCTATAGGGCAATAAATAATTCGCTGGTTCCCATTACAGTGCCAACCGGCCCAATCACCTTGTGTTTTGTATAGGTAAGGTAACAATATTATCTTCAATGACCGCATACCTTGACAAAGACTCATGATAGCAATACGTACGCACTCGTCCATGGTTACTTACTACTCCAGGATTCGAAGAAGATAAAGCAATACGACATCCTTTAGTGGATGACAAATGCCCGGACCGTGGAAAGCACCTGCTGTAATCAAGGTTTGAGTGCGAGTTACATTTCTCGCTGTTGATTCCAGAAACCAGCAGGGAGGGATACTTCTAGGTAAACGATGTCTCAGATGATTATTCATGTTTTGCGGGGGGGGGGGGGGGGGCATTCCACACGTCACTTCGTAGATGAAATCTTCAGAATTTGTTTTTCCATTGAACACATAAAAGCTCGTTCAGTTCAATTAGGCTCGCTTAGATTAATGTCATTGCATATTCACATCATGTGAAGAAGGCTATATATGACCGATTTCACAGACTGGTCAAATGAATATGACTCGCTGGCAGACGGCAGAGAAGTTAAATCAGCAGCACATCAGCCTCAGGGCTATGAAAGTGGCCGATTTCCACGTGTATATTTCTTAGTGTGGCAGTCTTACGCCGTGCGCACCCGAATAAATTTTACTGTCTACTTTGGTTCTGTTAATTTCACTGCATAATTTTCTTTAGGAAATAACACAACGCTTTAGAAGAGAGTTATGTTCATGTTAGTATTTTTATTTTGTGTGGAAGAGACATTGTCGAGGAGAATTTATACTATATATATGAGTCTAGAAAATTAACAGGTTTGCTCGGCTTATGGTCGTCGTCTAGCGACAATGCAAGGGTCCGCCTCGGTAGTGCGGTGGTTATAACCACACTCGGCTGTTGACCAGAGGTCACTGGTTCCATCCCGGTCGCAGCGGTCGTATTTCAATGAAGGAAAAATGCTGGAGGCCCGCGTACTGACCGGATGGGCGAAATTTACGGAGGAGCCAACGGCGTGCCTCATGATCAGTTGGCTCGTAAAGTCTCAGATATTCTTGATATTGCATGAAGAATGCATGAAACAAGTTTTAGTTAAGTGCATGCATTAAGCGGAAAGAAAGTTATTGGCTTGCGGTGCCATGTAAAACTCATGGCGATTAACAAGAACACTTTTATTCAATTACAAGAGCTTCTCTTCAAAAAGTTTCAGGTAAGTAGTTTCGTGGTGCTCTTCGACCACATTTAGCCATTGCGCCATAAAAAAAAACACCACATTCATCATCATCATCCCCTGTTTACGAATTTCTCATTGCAATGTTGGATATTCCCCTTCTTGCATTTTTTTTAACATCATCTGGTAAGTATTTAGATATTAAATTGGCCACTTATCCTTATCCCAACTTATATAGAGAAGGGACGGTATGTCATACTCATTTAGTTGAAAAGCTTAACACTCAGAAAACACCAACGACGAAAAAGAAGGCGAGCGCAGAGTCCCAAGCAACGACGGAGTCATTAAGATGAAAAACCCTAAAGTGATCCAGTCGGAACTCAAAGCAGCGACAACTCACTATCACACCATCACAGAGGTCCGGCAGTTTGGCAAGGGAGGCATTGTCTGCTTTTCTCCTGACCAGCTCTGTGTCAAAGACTTACTTAAATGCTCGATGTTCGCTACCAATCCGGTGAGCGCCTTCATTCCTCCTCACCTAGCATGCGTCAGAGGTATTGTCCGAGGCGTAGACATCAACATGACTCCAGCTGAGGTCCTAGAGATGTTCTCTGAGGCAGGTGCTATTGCAGTTTATAGATGCTCACGAGTTGTAGAACAGACAAAGATCCCTACTGAGTCTGTAATTGTCACATTTGCCGGGTCGATTCGCCCCTCTGAAATCAAGGCGTGGCCTTTAATATTCAGAGTCGAACAACTGTCACCTCGTCCCCTCCAGTGTCAGAAATGTTGGCGCTATGGACACACTTTAAAAGTGTGATGCGGGTTCTTGTTGCTGATTTGTTTTTCTCCCGGGCTGAGCCTCAGAGAGTTTTTCTAATAAGGACAAAGCCGTTCGGTTTCCAAGAAACACACAAAAAGTTTAATTGAAAAGAAAAAAAGGCAAAGATTCCTCACAAAACAAAACACTTAATAAACAGTTGACTGGACATGACGAAACACATCTGTAAACACCCAACAAAAACGTTCAAAGTCAGTAACTAAACCTAACGTTCGAAAGGGGCTGAGTGATGGGAGTAGCGCAAGAGTATCGGTGCAGTCTCACCCACAAGTTGGTTTTCGGCGGTGATGAGAAACCGGAACGCCGTGACTCCTGCGTCAATGCGTGGGCTGGACGAGGACGAGGGAACGCTGGCTGCTGGCGACACGTCGAAAAGCCCTACCAAATCGTGATGGTTTCGGCTTGAGGAGCGTGGACACGTCGGAGACGGGAGAACGCAGGCTGGTGGCGACGCGTCCGGGAACTAGGGTCGACCTAGTCAAGCAGCTGGGCGCACAGCTCGGGCCCGGAGCCCGACGGCTGTAGCTCGCCTGCCGGAACCAAAGTCCGCAGGCCCTGGAAAGGAGTTCAGGACCGGATGGCCACGGTCCTTTGGAGCGGGAACCCGACAGCAGGAGGCCCCGGCCGGTGGAAGTCCTGTAGGCTCGGGTCCGGAACCCAACGGCCCATCTTCAGCGCCCGGTCCGGTGACGACCTTCCGCTTGCACTGCCTGCCTCGAATTCCCCTTGCTCTGGTCCCCCCCCCAGGCTCCTGCTTCAGCTCTGGCCCACTTGTCTCGTTCTCATTGGAGATACTGCTGTTTCGTGGTGTCAAGCCATTGGGCCTTGAAATCTCCGTGTTCGCTGCCCATTGGATGTTTTACCTTTTGTTTACTTCACGTCCTGCCACGCATCCTCGTGCTTGACGCTCTTTAACGTCGTCATTCTTGTTTAAGCAGCACCGCACGTGCACTCTGGTATTTCTCCTTTTGTTTTTTTTTTTTCCGTGACGCGCACTTTTCGAAGGCGCGCACTTTGAACGCGCACCACACATCACATACGCCCCCCTTTTATTCAAGTTTTTTTTTTTTTTAGAAAAAAAAAACTGCCGATGAGTGCGCGTTCTGCACTACGTCACAATTAAACCACATATTTGCACCACGCAGTTCAACACATCACCGGGCTACAGTTCGCTACATCGTCCAAATGTCCACACTTAAACTTTAGATTCACCCAATTGCATTTAAAAGTTCTGAAACCCGGAATAAACCTTTTTACTACAAAATCGACTATGGACAAAGCTACTTGTGTCCGCATCTAAAAGTCGAAGTCCAGAAAGAGCTACCGGTTTTCTAACCCTACACTCAGGTTATCGCGTCCCAAACCAGACGCACTGCCCTTCTCGCACGTTTCGAAAGTAACTGTGGCAAACATGCTTTTATGCACTTTCGCTGAAACGCGTGTCTGCGCCCCCG